GAGCAGCCCGGGGCCCCACGTGGGAAGCAGAGTTACCCAGAGGAGAGCCCCTGGAAGCGGGCAGAGCAGGCAGGTGTGGGCTCCTGCTGCAGACGGACACCCTGAGCCTGCCCTGCCTCCCCCAGGCGAGACCTTCCTGCCCTACTACACAGGCCGCGCCATCGACAGCATCGTCATCCAGAAGAGCATGGACCAGTTCAGCACTGCTGTCATTGTCGTCTGTCTGCTGGCCATCGGCAGGTAGCCACTCGGCCTGCCCTGCCCCGCATGCCCCAGGCCTGTATCCCTGGACGGGGGTTGTAGGGGTGCTAGGGCCAGTTCTCAAGGAAAGTGTGGGCTGGAAATACCTCTGGGACCTGTCCGACAGCCTGTGACCAGCTCCCAAACTGGCTTAGAAACCTCGTCCCTGTGATCAGACCATATCCTAGTGCTGCACCCTCTTGTCTTGGTCCTCGGGGTGCCCCTTTCCCTCCCTTGCTGCTTTCTGAGCAGGAACCTAGGCCTAAGAGAAGGTCTAGCTTCAGTGTGCTGTTCTGGAAGAGAGGGTCAGCTGGCAGAGCTGGGCCCCTTGCCTGCCCTTGCCCTCATGGGGAGCTCCCTCAGGGAAAGAGGGACACCCCCACAGTGCCAGCCCTGGACAGTGGCCTAAGGCTGAGTGCTCCTGCTGTCCTGCCAGCAGCGGAGGGGCGGCCGGGTGGTGGTTGTCGCAGTCGGAAGGACGCGATGCTATAACATCTCTTATCTGCAATTAGCTCATTTGCCGCAGGTATTCGAGGCGGCATTTTCACCCTCATATTTGCCAGACTGAACATTCGCCTCCGGAACTGTCTCTTCCGCTCGCTGGTGTCTCAGGAGACGAGCTTTTTTGACGAGAATCGCACAGGTTGGTCCTGTTGGTGATGTGGGCAAGGGTGGGCTTACCTGGGTACATAGTGGGCTCAGGCCCACTGCTCCCATGTCAAGTTCAGGGTGGAAGCACCCAGAGGTAGGCTGGCACTGCTGGCCTGGCCTGAGCCCTGGAGAGCTGGTCTACCCACCAAGGTTTTGATGTGAGCTGTAGCCACCATAGGACCCTGGCCAGGCCACTCCAGGTCCCTGCTAGAGCCAAGGCCTCACTTTGCATGGCCCTGTGGAAACCACAAGGGCCAGGACTACCCAGCCTGTGACCTGTGGGGGTGAGTGGGTGGGACACAGACAAGAGCAGCAATGGAAATCTGGTGTCCAGCCAAGACCCCAAGCTCTGAGACAGACCAGGCTACTCCAAACCCTGGCTCCTCCACTAACCTCTCAGAGCCTGTTTTCTCCTCTGAGAAATGGGAAAAATAACTGTAAGTGCCAAGCCTGGTGCAGGGCACACACCTGTTAATCAGGAGGCTGAGGCCAGCCTCAGTAACTTAACAGACCCAGGCATGGAAGCACACACCTGTAATCATAGTGACCCAGGAGGCCAAGGCAGGAAAATCGTGAGTTTGAAGCCAGCCTCAGCAACTCAGTGAGACCCTGTCTCAAAATAAAGAATAAAAAGTACTGGGGATGTGGCTCAGTGGAGAAGTGCCCTAGGTTCAGTCCCCAATGCTGGGAGGTGCTGCCAGGCTTTGGGCCCAGTGTCCCACATTAGGTAAGAGGCACTGCTCTCGCCCCCTCCCCAGCACTGACTGTTGCCCTCCATGGGGAAGAGGACTGCTGCCCCTTTCCAGTTCGCCTCCCCTATACGATGGGGTGGCATGGGGCTTACTCACCATGCTGGCCACTAGGTCTGGGCTCCCAGGAGCCCTCAAGGAGTGCCTTCCCCCTCCCACCCAGAAGACAGGGACTCCCCAGTGTCTGCGTCAGGAGCCCCTTAGTGTCCCCTGCGCCCACCACAGTGGCCCTTGTTGCTGCAGCGGGAGCTGAGCTGCCTGTGTTCCAGGGGACCTCATCTCCCGCCTCACCTCGGACACCACCATGGTCAGCGACCTGGTCTCCCAGAACATCAACATCTTCCTGAGGAACACAGTCAAGGTCACGGGCGTGGTGGTCTTCATGTTCAGCCTCTCGTGGCAGCTCTCCCTGGTCACCTTCATGGGCTTCCCCATCATCATGATGGTGTCCAACATCTATGGCAAGTACTACAAGGTAGGCCCTGCCTGGCCCCACTGTCTGAGCCCTGGTGACGGCCAGCTGGAGGCTGGGTTATGTTCATTTATCCACTTGCTCGTCAGGTAGACAGTCATTGAGCACCTACAATGTGCAGGCCTGGGAGGCATCAGTGGAACAGGCAGGCCCTGCCCTCCTGGAGCTCCCGTTCTAGTGGAAGAGATGGACCATAAGTGATGATCACGACGAGTCTCCCAGGGCCGTGGGAGATGGCAAGTGCCGAGGAGAAACAGGAAGGGAAGAGACAGAGACTGAGTGCGGGTAGTAGCAGTTACAGCCTTGCTGGGAGGGATCAGAAGGAGGTAGATGTCTAGTGCCAGCGGGCACAGCCAGTTCAAAGGCCCTGAGGAGGGGATGGGCCTGGTGTCTGAGGAGCTGCAAGGTGGCCAGCAAGGCTGCAGTGATGGGGGAGGGGCAGGTACAGGTGATAAGGGAGGAGGTGACAGGCCGAAGGCACAGGTCTTGCAAGGACTCTGAGCCACCAGCTCACTCTTCCTATGGGTTGTGAGGGGGCTCGGGCCCCTCCAGCTGCCCCCTGCCCCTGCCTTTGCTGGGAAGCAGGCCTGTGAGTCCTAAGGGATAAGGCTGGGTCCAGATAGGCAGGCCTGTGAGCGTGACAGCTGCAGAAGCCCCTTCCCCAGTGGTCCCAGCCCATGGGAGGGCTGCTGAGCAGAGGCTTTGGTACATGATGGACTAGGTCTTGCTGGAGAGATCACTGTCCCCAGCTCCATGGGAACCTTTGGAACTCGTGATCTAAGGCCAGGATAGTGAAGGAAGCCATCTCCTTCCCAGTCCCAAATGATTCCAGTTCCCATGACCCTCTCTAGCCACAGGGGAAGGGTCTCTTCCCCACAGTCCTGAGTCACAAGCCCACCAGTTTCCTCATTGAGTAGAGAAGGCAAAGAGTTGGAGTCTGGGCTTCTGCTCCCAACCCCCACTTCCTGCTGGACAGGGCCACTGTCCCAGTGTCCCCTGGGATGTGGGCAGGCCCCTGGAGTCCCCATTCTGTGCCTTGGGCCCTGCTGTCACATATAGATGGGCAGAGCCTCAGGGAAGTTCTACGTAGCTTGTCTACCTCACATCAGATTGTATTAAATATGGCCAGCGAGTCATCCCCACAGACCACACTCAACTCCGTAGCCAGACACAGCTGCACAGTGAGGCTCCCTTGGGCACCCCAGCACCCTGTGTGCCTCCTGTGGCCTGGGCATGGAACACAGGTCCTGGGGCACCCTGCTACACAATCCCATCCGGGCCTCGCAGGCAGCTCTTCAGGCTGGTTTGAGGCTCTGAGTGTGTTGACTAGAGCGATGAGCACAGCTCCACCCAGGGTCTCCTCCAGAGCCCTTCACCTGGGACCACTCCTCAAACATCTACCTTTGATCATAGGTACACAGCAGGGGCAGGTTTCATAAGTGTGTCCTCTACTGCTGTCCAGAACTTGGCTGGGAGTTCTGGAATCTCTGTGCCAACCCTCAGACTCTCACTAATTTATGCTGATGATGTCAACAGTACCTTCTTCAAAGCTGGCATTTCTCGAATGGCATACAACCTGAGCAACTGTCCAGGGTCTCTCTGCTCTTATGCCAGCACAGGATCATGATTGAGGCTCCTTTTCTGAAAGAATTCCCAGCCCACAGTCATGAGTGGCTTCCTTTGAGAACTGAAGATGACTTAAAGATCGCCCCTCACCCCCCAGGAGCTGGGCCAGCAATCCGAGGGCCCTGTGGGAGCCTGTTCTCAACTGGGAGGAGACAGGGTGGGAGTGGAACTAGACCTTCTCCTTTCATCTGGGGACTTCCTGCAGCACCATGGAAAGGGAGAAAGGTCCAGAGAGGCCTAGGGCTCCGGCACACAGTGAGGCTGTCTGTTTGGGGGGTCTCCTCCTTGTCCCCCTCCTGCCCACAGAGACTTTCCAAGGAGGTCCAGAGTGCCCTGGCCAGAGCCAGCAACACGGCTGAGGAGACCATCAGCGCCATGAAGACTGTGCGCAGCTTTGCCAACGAGGAAGAGGAGGCAGAGGTGTATTTGCGGAAGCTGCAGCAGGTGTACAAGCTGAACCGGAAGGAGGCGGCTGCCTACATGTACTATGTCTGGGGCAGTGGGGTACGTGCCCCTGGCCAGCAGGCCTGATGTGGAGAATGGGATGCAAACTGGGGAATCCCTCCATCCAGGACCTTGGCCCAGATCCCCACATGCTGGTGTCAAACTAGCACAGAGATCTTTCCAGAAAAGAATGCAGCCTTCTGGTGCATGTCCTCTGGGCACCTCTGCTGTCTGGGGCATAGGTGGTAGGAAGGGTAGGACCTTCTTCATTCACCTGGGGCCCACCTAGGCCACCTTCTGGCAGGTCTCATGCCTCAGCCTCACACTCCCCAGATGAGTCCCGGGCCCTCCCGGAGAACGCAGCCCCATTAAGAGGTGGCCGGTGGGGGCAGAGGGAAGAAGGAGCTGAGGCCTGCTGAGCTGCCAAGCCTCTTGCACTCTTTCCCCACCAGGGGTACATTTTGTAGCATCCATAAAGGTACCTGTGGTCCAGACTTGACCTCATCCTGAGCTGGGGGTGAGACAGACTGTGGCCCTGGGCCGTTTGTGGGTTGTTCTAAGTACCAATCCATTCATCTCCCAGACCACCCCCCATGAGCAGCAGGGGGCAAGGGTACCCCAGACACAGCCCCTCCTTCATGGAGCCTAGCTGGGAGGAAACAGACCTCATTGTCCCACTCTGTCCAGCTGGCTGTGTAGCTTTAGCGACCTCTCTGAGCCGCGCTTTTCCCAATGAGGACTAATAGCTCTCCTTGGCCAGCTGAGGAGCTTGGGGTGGTGTGTGTATGCCAGGACCTTACAAAGGAAGCCTTGTTCTCAGGCCAAGCCCACAGCCTACCCCTGCTGGAGGCCTTTGTGGGGAACCTCTCCAGGGCAGGGGGAGGGGAGGGCCTGAGGGACAGGCCACAGTGGGGCAGACCTCCGTGCCAATGGCTGGAATTGGAGTTTGTGGCTGTGTGTGCAGAGACCTCAAGGGCTGCTCTCATCTCCCTGTGTCCCCACCTCCCTGGGATTTAGGGAATTGAGAGACAGGGGTGGGGTCTGAGCCAAGGCCCAAGTGACCCAACCCTCTCCCTTTACCCCAGCTCACGCTGCTGGTGGTCCAGGTCAGTATTCTCTACTATGGAGGCCACCTCGTCATCTCGGGACAGATGACCAGCGGCAACCTCATCGCCTTCATCATCTACGAGTTCGTCCTGGGGGATTGTATGGAGGTGAGGGCCTGGGTGGGAGGGTATAGGGAGAGCAGCTAAGGTGGGGGGGAGGAGGGTGTGGTGGTGTCTCCTTTAAGATAGGTCATCATAACCATAAAGGTCCTGCAAACAGGTGACTCCGTGGATCCAGCCAAACGGCAGTGACAGTTGACATCAGGAAATGCTCATAAGAGCTTCCTGAGAAGTTCTGAAATTCCCATTTCACAGAAAAGGAAACAGACTCAGAGAAGTCAAGTGACTCGCCCACACGTTGGGTGGGGAGCTGTGTTCAGAGCTGGCCAGGTGGCACCTCGGCTCAGCCCCTGCAAAGAGCAGCGCCAAGCATGGGCAGCCAGGGGTGTTGCAGACTGGGCTTGCATTTAGGTCCCCGCCTAGCAGACCTGTGACTGGGTGGACCACACCCGTTTGTCTGGGAGGTGCCCAAAAACTGGGGAATGGGTGTAGGAGGTGAGCTGGAAAAGGAAAGGAGGTCCACAGAGCTGTGTGCGCAGCGGGCTCCATCCTCCCGCGACCCCTAGGGCCAGCCCACTCAGCAGCCCCAAGCACCCACCGCCCTGGTGGAGCCGGGCGGAGCCCTGATCGTCTGGCCCAGGCCACCGGTCAGTGCCAAGCTCAGCCTGCAGGGGCGCTGCCGGTTCTCCATGCGCCTCCTCCCCAGAGAAAAAGCCCCGCACCCACACCAGATGTGGGGACCACTGCAGCCACCCCTGTGCTGCTGATGGACTTGGCAATCATTCTGCCTCCGGGAATCCGTGCTTCAGAAATACTCATACCAGTGGGCAAAAGCCTGTCAAGGATGTCTGGGACAGCGTTGTTCATTTGCGTGAGTGACAAGCAACCCAAATGCCCCCGCATCAGCCAAAGGACAAATATGGTACATCTCTGTACCAGAGATGGTATGTACTTTGAAATCCCAGAGATTCAGGAGGCTAAGGAGGAGGATCCCAAATTCAAAGCCAGCCTGGGCAACCCAATGAGACTCCATCTCAAAAGAAAAAGGACTGGAGATGTGGCTCAATGGTAGAGTACTCCTGGGTTGAGTCTCAACACAGGAAAAAAAAAAAATTAAAAAGGAAGGAAGGAAGAAAGAAATGCTTGGCAGCCCTTCAGGAATGAGGCAGACTTTTCTGAAGTAAGACACACTATCCAGCACAAACAGAAAACCCCTGATCGAGCTGGGTAGTCTGATATCCTTTTTATTTTATTTTAATATTTTTTTTAGTTGTAGGTGGACACAATACCTTTATTTTATTTGTTTATTTATATGTGGTGCTGAGGATCTGACCCAGGGCCTCACACATGTGAGGCAAGCGCTCTGCCACTGAGCCAGAGCCCCAGTCCCTCATTTGTGCATTCTTAAAATCTCAAAATGAATTGGCTATGATGTGCATGTACTTGTGAACACACAGAGAAAGGGCTGAAAAGATACAATACATTGATAACTATGGCTATCTCTGGGATAAAGGAGCGTGAAAGAGAAGCCACCCAGTTCTCATGTCTTAGTAGTAATACTGTTAGTATTAATGACAGTTTTAGTTGTGGCATATTGAGCATCACAGGCCAGGCCCTATCTCCACAGCAACATTCCCTGGTGTTGCTCTTACCCCCTTTCCTCCAGTGAGGACACTCAGTTATGGCATTGATGCATCTAAGCTCAGGAAGCAGGTGTGCCCAGATTCTAATCTTGCCTCTGCAACTGCTTGGCTATGGGACCTGGGGCAAATACTTGATCCTCTGTGCCTATGAGAGAACCTACTTCATAGCATATAGAAAGCACTAATAAAATGGGCCATTATTACAATTAACCTTTACATTGGATATATTTTTACCCAAGGAGAGTCTACTTATGACAGGTATACATCAAGACCCATTTTTTATTTAGTATTTATTTTTTAGTTGTAGTGGTCACAATTCCTTTATTTGTTTTATGTGGTGCTGAGGATCAACCCAGGGCCTCACGCTTGCTAAGCGAGCTCGCTACCACTGAGCCACAATGCCAGCCCCTCAAGACTCATTTTAAAAATTGAAATTAAACTATGTGGTGGCAGCTGACTAGCCAAGGTGGGATCACTGCCTTGGCACATTCTTACAGGTTCATTTCTCTGCATTTCTGTCTCCTCTTCTTCTCCTGGGTGGGGTTGAAAATTGGTAGCAATGACCTTGAGGCACACATGCTCCTGGCCACCTTGTCTTTTGTTATTGTCAGTGTCTACTGTGTTAGCAGGTGTCCTGGCAGCAGCCCCTGTGTCTCCCCAGAGCTGCAGCTCTGTCCTTGCTCCCTGCACACCCTCGTATCTCTGGTACCACAGAGGGTCCCAGGAGCGGATATTGGGGACATGAACATGTCTCTTCCCTGCAGTCTGTGGGATCTGTCTACAGTGGCCTGATGCAGGGCGTGGGGGCAGCTGAGAAGGTGTTCGAGTTCATTGACCGGCAGCCGACCATGGTGCATGATGGTGACTTGGCCCCCGACCACCTGGAGGGCCGCGTGGACTTTGAGAATGTGACCTTCACCTACCGCACACGGCCCCACACCCAGGTCCTGCAGGTGAGAGGCAGACAGGAGGCTGTCTGCGTCACCCTACCCTCTTCAGGAGTCTGGGCTCCAGCTGGGCAAGGTGTGTCCTTAACAGATGGACTCCAGATAATAAGCTCTGGGAAGGAAAGAAATCAGGGTGTGGTGGGGGGGGGAGCAGCATGAGATTGGTGAAATAGTCAAAGAGGCTTCTCAGAGGAGGTGGCATTTTGAGCTGGACCTGACCTAGGAGCCACACCCAGCCAGGTGGCTTGCTGCAGTGAAATATTCCAGGCAGAGGCACAGCAAATATGAAAGTGCTGCCAAATCAAGCGTTTTAGAAAGGAGAACACCCAGGGATCAGCAGTGCCCAGCCGCAGAGGAAGAGCGGGGGCGGCTGGGAAGGGCGCCCACCTGTGTCTGAGACAGTGTCCAGCCCCAGATCCTGGGCCTGTGGCCCCACACTGTGCCTGTGTTCCTTGCAGAATGTCTCCTTCAGCCTGTCCCCAGGCAAAGTGACGGCCCTGGTGGGGCCCTCTGGCAGCGGGAAGAGCTCCTGTGTCAACATCTTGGAGAACTTCTACCCACTACAGGGGGGCCGAGTGCTACTGGACGGCAAGCCCATCGGTGCCTATGACCACAAGTACCTGCACCGTGTGGTGAGTGTGGCCAGGCCCTCATGATCCTTGCTGCCCTCGCTGCCCTCCAGCCTTCCTCTGACCTTGGCTAATCTCTCACGCAAGCTGTAACACAGAGGCAGAGAAGGCGCAGTTCACAGAACTGTCACCAATGCACCATCACGAGGTCATGACATAGAAGGTTCTGGCACTCCAGAAGCCCCATGTACCCTTTCTTTTCCCCTCAAGAGTCCCACCTGACTTTTATGATAACCATTTTCTGACTTTTCTTTAGTTTTACCATCTGTGTGTACCCAGAGATGATGTGATCTGAACTTCATCTAGACAGAGTTCTGTGTGTGTCTCTCTCTGTATCCAGAGTTCTGCGTCTGCAGATTCAACCAACTGTGAATGGGAGATATATTTTTTAAATTATCTGCACTGAACGTGTACAGACTTTTCTCTTGTCCTTGTTTCATAAACAATACAGCGTAACAACCATTTCCATAGCCCTTACACAGCATTAGGTATTGCAAGTCATCTAAGGTGATTGGACATCTACAGGAGGATGTGGGTATGTTATATACAAATAGTGCCATTATTAGGGACTTGAGCATCTGTGGAATTTGTTACCTGAGGGGATCCTGGAACCCATCCCTGAGGACACAGAAGGATGAGCCTTTCCTTGGCATTGCCTATCTTTCAGCTCAGCATCATTTAGCCGTCCAGGCTGAGGTTGGGGTTGGGGTCCATCCATCTTCATTGCCGGATGATAATCTGTTCTGCTAACATGTCACAACCTATTTATGCCTTGTGCTCTTGATGGGTCTTCGGGTGGTTTTCTGTTTTTTACCATTACCAAGGATACTGTTGAGGGATGTGGACAACTTTGTTCCTGTCTCTTGGTGCATGTGGCTAGGTTCTCCTGAAGAATGACCTCAGAGCAGAAGAGCCTGGTTGGAGTAGATGCTGATCCCCAGCCTCAACAGATTCTGCCAGGGGGACAGTTTCCCAGGGTGCTTGTAATCCATTCAACCTTCCACTAGCAGCAGCTGAGAATTCCAGCTGTTCCACATTTAGGTCATCTCCAGGACTCCAAGGAAACTGCTCCTGACCACGCAGTCCTTGGTAACCTCAGAAGGAGCCTCAACATCCAGCCTTGTGCTGAGCAGGGAGGCCTGAATGGGTTCAGATCATATGCCCTATAAGGAACACCAACTATTAGGGGGTGACATCACCAACGTGCACTAAGTCATTTGAGAACCTGAGGGCTATCACAGAAATTCCAGAACTACTGGCCAAGCTCTAGATGGTGGCAGAGGCCATGGACTGGGAACTCTCCCCGCATCAAACATATTAACCAGAGACAGATGGCTGGCAGATGGCCCAGCATGCGGCCCTCCAGCTTGCTGACCACTAGCCTCTAGAAGAGGCCTCCGGGCAGAGAGGTGCAGACTGCAGCAGTGAGCACTCTCGGGTTCTCAGGCACTTCATGTCATAAGTCCTGTATTTTACTAGAAGTTGCATGTATAGGGGCAGCTTTGGGGGGTCTTCTGCCACTTCCCAGCAACTACAGATATGAAGCCGGTTTTCATGTATTTATTGCCATTGGTTTTCATCTTCTGTGAATACCTTCTTCGTAATGTAAATTCAAAAATTTAATTCCCATAAACAAAACAGTAAAATGCCACAATATAATTGTAGCCCCACAGTTTTAGTGAATTTTGTAACTAAGCCAGGAGAGTTCCCCTCCACCTTCCCTGTCTAGGAAGTAACCTGCACTGGTATTTTGTAGTCGCTTACCAATTTGTTTCCATAAAATATATTTCCATATATTTTATGGAAATATACCAACATATGGAGGCATATGTACATTGTACATGTACATAGCGTTTTTTAACTACACACACACACACACACACACACACACACACTGCAATTTGGCTGTGTGGATATACTGTAATTATTTAACCAATCCCCAGCTTATGGACAGCTAGGTTATTTCCATTCATGCATTCATTCTCTTTACAGAATTGAGATGATATTTTTCATACTATTATTTTTGTAGGCCAGATTGCTAACTGGTATAACAGGACAATGACTCCTTTGAACTGTTTCCTCAGAAGGGAGGGGACAACTGCCAGGGAGGCCTTTGTGGCCTGGAGGCCTGCTGTGGCCTCTTGCTTCCTGATGGGCAGCTGCATTCACAGAGCTTCATTCTACACTTTCTCCCACACTCTGGTTTTCCCCAGGACAGAGACAGTCAGTGAACTTCCTCTTGGTGGTCAGGGAACTTGCCTTAGCCCAGAGCAGCGTGCTTAGCTAGCCCCCTTTGTGAGGGGGAGGCTGAGGGCTTGTGCACCAGCAGGACGAGAGAGAGAAGGGGGGGGGGCAAGAAGGCAAGGGGCAAGGAGAGGCAGCTGAGCACAGCCTGATTAGGTTTCAAACCTGAGACCCTGGGCATCAGCCAGGCCCTGGCTGGCGAGGCTGCTGGTGACAGCTGGATGGACACATTCCTGGCTTCTCTGACAACCCCCTTGCTCCTGCACAGATCTCCCTGGTGAGCCAGGAACCCGTGCTCTTTGCCCGTTCCATCACAGACAACATCTCCTACGGCTTACCCACGGTGCCCTTTGAGATGGTGGTGGAGGCCGCACAGAAGGCCAATGCCCACGGCTTCATCATGGAGCTCCAGGATGGCTACAGCACAGGTACGGAGGAGCCCAGCATCACCTCCACTGTGCCTGTGGGTCTGTCCTCAGGGTGCAGTCTTCTTGGTTAAGGACTGCCCTCTGCCACCTGCTGTTTACCTTTTCAACTTCCTTTCATTGAGATGAAATTCACATAACAGAGTCTTCTTCTTCTTTTTTTTTTTTTTTTTTTTGGTACTGGGGACTGAACCCAGGAGTGCTGTACTGCTGAGCTACATCCCCACCCCTTTTTATTATTCTGAGACAGAGTAATAACAATTCAGAGCTACTCTCAGCAATTTCCAACTAGGTGATACCCTGTTATTAAGTACAGCACCGTATTTATTGTACAGTGGCTTCCTCCTAACTAGAATGTGTAACCTTTGGTCAATATTCCCTCAGCACCTCCTATAGATTTTAAAATGTGATTCTTGAATAGGGAGTATCCATGGGTTCAAAATAAAAACACATATGAGGAGGTGTATAAGGAAAAGCTGTGTCCCTGTTCCTGCCCCTGCCCCTCCTGCCCCCAGCAGGACTTTTCATTAGTTTCTTATATGTCCTGTAAATATAAATGTGAGTTCTTATTCCCCTGCCCTTTTACAGAAAAAAAAATAATGGCCTTTCTATTGTGCACCCAGCTCTGTTGATTTAGCTCCACGCTGGTGAGCTACCATGCCGATGGAGGGGCTGCTTCCTCCTCCTCTTCTTCCTCTTTTCTTTACTCTGTGCACAGCAGTGCACAGGCCTTTATGATAGTTGGTAACTGACTCTCCTCCTGCTGATGAAGGAGGATGAGCTGCTTTGATTTACTTGTTGCAATATTTGATGAGCTGCTTTGATTTACTTGTTGCAATAGCGGTGTTGTGAGTCACACACTCCACATGCCTCCGGCTGTGCAGGAGTTGATGGTGGGTAGGGAAATTTCCCCAGGCAGGCTGCTGCCCCAGGCCGTGCACCTATGATGAAGACATGTAGCCTTTGCACAGTGCAGATAACATACTCAGGTTGTGTTGCAGCCTGGTGAGCACAGGGTGGGACTACCTGTGCTTGCTCTGGGAGGGCGGGACACGGTTGCAGCCTCAGCAGCACACTGTGTGATCACACATGGGATTTGTGCCAGGTGAATGGGCAGAGCTAGGAGCATGGATCCATTTGCATGTAGCAGCCTCTTACAAATAGGGTGGGAGTGCCAGTTCGTGACCTTTCCACTGGTTGGCAGTTCTAGCCAGCGGCCCTTTAAAACTGCCCAGGCAGGCCTCTGGCTCTTTCCAGGGGCTGCCCAGCCGCCTCCTGCTAACTCACTTGCCCCTGTGCTTCCACCATGCAGAGACGGGGGAGAAGGGTGCCCAGCTGTCAGGTGGCCAGAAGCAGCGAGTGGCTATGGCCCGGGCCTTGGTGCGAAACCCTCCCGTCCTCATCTTGGATGAAGCCACCAGTGCTCTGGATGCCGAGAGCGAGTACCTGGTGAGTAGCAGGATGGCAGGGGACACTGAAGCAGTTGCAGCTCCAGGTGGCCAGGGTCTCCTCTCCACCAGTCACAGGGAAGGGCCTGGATATGCCACAGGGGCTACCCAGGCCATTGGCTCCCTGGACTGATGAATTTACAGAGGGTAGAGAACCAGAGAAGAGGTGGCCCAGGCCTGGTCACCCTGAGTTATGTTATAAGGAACAAAAGCACATCGTGACCAGACCCGGCTCAGAATCCCCACCCTCTAGCTTAGTTTCTTAGTGGTTTTGCACAGGTGACCTACCAGCAAGCAACACCCTAAACCCCACAACCTGCAATTGGTAACATGACCTTGAACTTGTTACTTTTTCTCTCTTGGTCCCATTTTCATTGGTAAAATAATTTTAATTGGTCCAGTAATGTGCTTGTAGATGGCTAGCTAGCAATCTAGCCCTGGATTGATCCCTGCATTCCAGAGATGATTACTGACCCCCTCTTAGCACCAAGCACTATTCTAAGCGCCAGGGTTACAGTGGCCTGCTGACCAAACAAGACCTCTGTCCCCATGGTGTTTCCATTCTTTTAGGTAAAACAGATAATAAACAAGGATGTGGGCAGGTGTTTCACCTGTGGCCTATGCTACAAAGAAAATGAAATGTCATGAGACACAGGTTGGGAGGGGCCCCTATCATCAAAGACAAACACAGCTGGTCAGAGTGGAGGCCCAGTGGAGGCCCTGAAGCCAGATTTTATTCATTAACTACTTGTAGTTCAGAGGACTGAGCTCTGTTCTCATTTGTGCAGAGGTGCCCAGGCTATTTTAGAGGGAGAATGAGGGAGGGGAGGGGGAGTGAGCAGGGGTCCTAGTGGAAAACGGTGCAGGGTGCCTGGTGTGGATGCAATAAGGCCACCTGTGACTAGTGGCAGTGACTGAATTAGGATCCTGCCTCCCACAGAGGTTGGAAGATAAGGGCCCTATCCTTCCTGATGATGACAGCCCAGGCAATGCCTTTTGAGTCCTGAGTTGCAGGAGACACAGGCACCTCTCAAAAGAATAGAGAAGGGGTCATGTTCTAAGCTCTGTCTAGTAAATGCTCCAGGAAAAGGCAGTCTGGGGCCTGTGGCAGGTGTTGACTTGAACAGTAAGTCCCCCTGGCCACATTGAGCTTTCTCCAGCAGATGCTTTGATAAGGGGGCCTGGGTCATCTTGGGATACCGCTTCATGCTGCTAGAAGCCATACTAGAGTTTGGCACAGAGGTTTGGAGGAGCTTACATGCTGAGAGCTCTGTGGTTCTCGCCAGGGTTTAGCCAGCTAAACCAGGTGTGATGGCATATGCCTGTGATCCTAGTGATTGGGAAGGCTGAGACAAAAAGATTGCAAGTTCAAGGTCAGCCTCAGCAACTCAGCAAGACCCTGTTCAAAATAAAACATGAAAGGGCTGGAGATGTAGCTCAGTGGTAAAGAACCCCTGAGTTGAACCCCCAGTAACAAAAAGAAGAAAGAAAAGGAGTCATCTATGGGGAGTTCTGGGAGGGCACCCCTGCAGGCTAGGCCAGCAGGTACAAGGGCCTGGAGCGGGGCACAAACCTGGCACGTTCAAAGCAGAGCAAAAATTGTGGCTGCAGACAGGGTCGAACCGAGAGAGGCAGGGGCACAGTCACAGGGAGGTGGGTTCCCCCAGCCTTGCGAGGAGTTTGAACTTTTCATGAAAATTAACCAACTTGACATATTTCAGTTGTTAAGTTTAAAGAAAATGGAGCAGAAAGCAGAGAGTTCCCACACACCCTCCTCTTTCCCCTCCTGCCCCCATTCCTGACCTCCTGTAGCAGTGACCCATTGTTCCAGCTGGTGAAGCTGCATGGGTGCTTTATCACCTAAACCTGTGACAGGGCTCACTCTTGATGATGTACTTTTGACAAGTGTAGAATGTCATGTACCCACCATCACAGTGTCACAGAGAAGGTCTCGCTACTAGAGAAATCCCCTAGTGGGGTTGGATGTATCCTAGAAGGGGACAAAAAGCTTTTGGAGGGTTTACAGCAGGCGTTTAACTGACTCAAAGTTTTTTTGTTTGGGGTTTTTGTTTTTGGTTTTTGTACTGGAGATTGCATCCAGGGGCGCTTAATTACTGAGCCACATCCCTGGCCCTATTTATTCTGAGACAAGTTCTTGCTAAATTGCTCAGGGCCTTGCTAAGTTTCTGGGGCTGGCATTGAACTAATGATCCTCTGCCTCAGCCTCCCAAGCCACCACCATACCTGGCTCTGACTCCAGCATTTTAAGGCTGCATGGGGAACATTTAGAGGCCAGAGAGAAAAGCTGGAGTCCTGCAGGTGAGAAGGAGTAGTGAGAGACAAACAGGAGGGGGAAGCCACAGGCTTTGCCCATGGAGTGCGTTTGGTGACAAGGCACAGTGTGGAACAGAAGGCTCTGCCTGGCCTCATTGGCCTGAGCATCAGGGCTGATGGCCACTCACCAAGCCCCCTCCCTGTGTCGAACCTTGAGCTCTGTCTCTCCTAAACAAAATCCAGCTATCAGGTTCTGCTCCAGCTCTTGTTTTTCAAAGAGAAGCTGAGTTTCAGTGCCAGAGAGTAAGGGGTGGCCTGGAGCCTAGTGGTGGGTGGCCCAGGCAGTCAGGTGGAGCAGCCCCATGAGCCAGCTCCTATTCTCCCCCCAGATCCAGCAGGCCATCCACGGCAACCTGCAGAAGCACACGGTGCTCATCATCGCGCACCGCCTGAGCACCGTGGAGAAGGCACACCTCATCGTGGTGCTGGACAAGGGCCGTGTGGTGCAGCAGGGCACGCACCAGCAGCTGCTGGCCCAGGGCGGCCTCTACGCCAAGCTGGTGCAGCGCCAGATGCTGGGGCTCGAGCCCGCCTCGGACTACACAGCCGGTCACAAGGAGCCACTGGGCAATGGCACTCACAAGGCCTGACCTCGGCCCCTGCCTCTCCCAGTGGGGCAGAGGCTCTGGCACCTGCCTTGCAGACATGCCTGTGGGGCCACAGCAGCTCCCAGCTGCCCTCCGAGTCCAGGTCTGTGGCACTGGGGGGCAACCTGCCACGTCCCACCTTTCACCGCTTCCTGCTCTTGCCCTGGTTCCACCCTGCTCCCCAGGGCACTTCCAGCCTGTGCTGCCATGAGCACCCCTCTGCTCCCCCCGCCTGGTCTCCCCTGCTGCTCCCCCACGCTCCTAGCAAAGGTGCAGCTGCCTTTTTAAACCATGACCTTACCAGGTTTTTTTACTGCTTGATTTGATGCACTACAGACAACTCCTAGATTTCAAAAACATTTTTCTAATTGGGAGTAATGATGGGAATATTCACTAAGGTGTTCTAGAATCTTCTGAGCCAGGAGTGAAGAGCCCTTCCTAATAGTCTGGGAGATGCCAGAAAAGAACTAGGCTCACCCTTGCCCCTCCAGAAAAGGGGCTTTCCTGTCCCAGAGGGGAGCACAGGGGTGGAGTGGAACTGTCGCTCCCTCCTCCCAGCTCGGTGAGTCAGGCCTAGGGTGGGCGGGAAAGTGGGAGGCATCTAGCTGCCCATAGGCCCCCTGCCAATCAAAGCCAGTCTCACTGTGAACCACTGCAAACCTCAATGGGGGAGTGAGGGGCTGGCCAGGCCTGGCAGGGCCTCTGGGGTGCACCCAGCCCACACCCAGCGCTTTAGCCCCCTTGGCCCTGCCTCCTTCTTCCCCTGGCTGGCAGCCATCTGGACGCCCACCCTGACACTCGGCTGTTTGGAGGCCCTTGGTTGTTTGCAAGATGCTTTCTCTTTTGTTTGGTGGATGGGACTGTTGCAAAGCCCAGGGGCCGGCTTTGTCCAAGGTTGTGAGATAGTGGGAGAACCCAGTCAATAAAGTGTACTACCTCTGATGCCTGACCTCTGATTCTCCTTGGGCCGTCTGCCCCATTTCCTGGTTAGGGTTTGGTTTGGGGGTTTTTTTGGTTGTTGTTGTTTTTTTTTTTTTGGTACTGTAAATTGAACTCAGGCATGCCCTACCATTGAGCTATATCCTAGTCCTTTTTATTTTTTTGAGACAGGTCCTGAAAAACTTGCCCAGCAAAGTGAGGTGGCACATGCCTGTAATTCCAGTGGCTCAGGAGGTTGAGGCAGGAGGACTGAGAGTTCAAAGCCAGCTTCAGCAAAAGCGAGGCTCTAAGCAACTAAGTGAGACCCTGTCTCTAAATAAAATTAAAGAAAAAAATAGGGCTGGGGATGTGGCTCCGTGGCTGAGTGTCCCTGAGTTCAATGCCTAGTACCAAAAAAAAAATAAAATAAAATTGCTCAGTTAAATTACCCAGTCTGGCCTCAAACTTGAATCCTCCTGTCTCTATCTCCTGAGTGGCTGAGATTACAAGTGTGCACCACCACACCCGGCTCTGGTCAAGTTTCTTACCAGATCCTGCTCAGTTGCAGAAGGTCATTGGGTGGTCCAGGGCCTGTCCCAGTGTCCTAGAGCCCCCATCTGTGCACCTCTGTCTTCAGGATCTCCGGAGCAGTCATTTATGCCCATCAGTCTGTCTCCATGGGCCTGTGCGAGGGGACAAAAATGATCTTCTCCAAATCCCAGGGAGAATCAAGACTGCTCGAAGTGACCTCCCATGTTTCTCCACCCCTCTGGACCTCTGTGTCCTCATCTGTAATGAGGGGTACACTGTAAGGATGAACCTCCTGCTCTGTGCTCCTATGTGGGACCAGGGCCCTTGGGAACAGGGTATTAGTGTCCTGTTGTTGCTGTAAGAAATTACCACTAACTGGGTGGCTTAGAATGAAGATGTTCTTTCTGGAGGGCAGAAGTCTAACAGCTGGGGGTCAGCAGGGCCATGCCCCTGGCCTGCCTTTCACCCTGTCCTGCAGTTTCCCTCTTCAACGGGCCGTTGCCTCTGTGTCTTCATCCGTGTCTCTCTGCTTTTCTGAAAGAACACTGTAGTGGGATTGGGGGACCACCTGGAAATCTAGGATGCTCCCATCTTGAGATCCTTAATTATCACATATGCAATGGACTCTTTTCCAAATAGGTGACATTCACGGGTCCCAAGGATTTGACATGGGTATCTTTTGGGGGCCACCACTCAACCCACTACACAGGGGAATGCTCAGCCCTGAATTTAGTTTTGGGGGTGGGGCTTAGGTGTTCTGAGAGTCAGCAGACCTTCAGATATTTCCAGAGAAGTTGGAAATTCCAATCTTATTGGGAGATCAGCTGCTTTTAAAAAAATATATCTTTATTTATTTATTTATTTATTATTTTTATGTGGTGCTGAAGATCAAACCCAGAGCCTTGCACCTGTGAGGCGAGCTCTCTACTGCTGAGCATAACCCCAGCCCCAGATCAGCTGCTTTTATAGATTTTCTTAAACTGTCTTGATAAAAGCAAGGACCAGTGAACATACCCTAGGCAGTCTTCAGTCTGTGCGCCTCCAGCCTGCAACCTCAACACTGTGCCTGTTCTCCAAAATCCTTAGAGCTTCCCTGCGGAGGAGTTTGCACCTGCTATGGGGCCCCTGACCCCGCCACCCCCTCTCCCCCCCCCCCCCCCGCCTGTCCCTCCCCCTGTCCCATCTGCCCACCTCTCTTCTCATCCCTCCCCTCCCAGGCTGAGGACTCCAGCATGTTCTCCCACCCCCAGGCAAGGCATTCAGCTCCAGCTCTCCAATCTGTAAATCCAGACCTAGAAATGGGCTCTGGGCAACAAAAGAGCTTTCCAGAGACCAAGAACTTCCCAGAGCCCCTCTTCAGAAAACAGATATGTCTTTCTTTCTTTCTTTTTTCTTTTTTTGGTTGTTGATGTACCTTATTATTTTTTTTTAATTTATTTATATGTGGTGCTGAGGATCGAACCCAGTGCCTCATGCATGCTAGGCAAGTGCTCTGCCGCTGAGCCCCAGCCCCAGCCCCAGCCCCGTGGCTTTTAAAAAAGAATAAATTATTTATTTTGGAATGATTTTAGGTTGACAGAAAAATCGTGGTGACATTGCAGAGTTCCCGTGTGGCCCTCCCAGCTCCCCTGTACAGGCATCTCAGGTCATGGAGGTAGCAATGCGGGCACGTCACCATCAGTGAGACTCCAGGCTGTTTTTGTATTTCACTTGCTTTTCTGCTAATGTCTTTTTTTTGTTCCGGGACTCAATCCAGGCACCACCTCACATTTAGTGAGGTGGTGCTGCTTTTCAACTGAGGTAAAAGGCGCATAATATGGACTTATCATCCATGACACCTAAGGTGTCCACAGTGTTGTGTGGCCCTCACCACTCTCCAGCTCAGGACATTTTCATTACTCTGAAAGAAAGCCCCATCCTGTGAACCCCACATGCTCCTCTCCCTACATCACCTGCCAACCACAGATCGGCTTTCCAGACTTGCCCATTCTGTATATTTCATATAAATGGCATCATACAATATGTGGCCTTATGTGACAGCATAGTGGTCTCAATGTTCATCCATATTGTCACATGTGTGAGGACTTTGTTCCTTTTTATGGATGAATAATAGTCCATTGTATGAGTGGACTACATTTTGTCTGTCCATTCATCCACTGATGGACATCTGGGCTGCTCTGCCTTTTGTCTATTATGAACCGGGTTGATGTGAACAGTCATATTTTGGTGAAGATGTGTTTACACTTCTCTTGGGTATACATCAGGAGTGGAATTGGTGAGTCACTTGGTATCTAAGTTTAGCCTTTGGGGGTCTGCCCAACTTTCCACTGTGGCTGCACTGTTTTATGTCCCCACCAGCAATGCACCAAGGGTCCAATTTCTCTGTGTCTTCACCAACACTTGGTATCTTTTGTTCATTTTATTTTTTTAGATTATAGTATCCCAGTGGGATGAGTTGGAGAGGGATGTCTTTTTGAAAGCTGACTTTTCTGTTTCAATTAATTTAGTAAATATTGCTGTCCTTCCTCCATCCCGGGCACCATGCTAGGCAACCAGGGAAACCTGTTGTAGTCTGCATCTTCAGAGCAGCCTGTTCCACCAGGAAAACAAGCAGGGACGACTCAGAATGGAGGTGAGACCCAGAGTAGGCTTAGTTCTGGTGAGAGGAGTTGGGGGTGGAGGGCAGACAAGGGCAGGCTGGTTTGTGCAACCCGTGCTGCTGCTAGAGGGCTCCGGGCTCAGAAGGGCACGCTTGGTTCGATGCTCTTTAGTTACAGTTTGAAATTCTGAATGACTTTTTAACCAAGTGCTCACATTTTTTTATGGCTGAATAACATTCCATTTTTTGGTGCTATGGTTTGGATATGATATGTCTGTCTCCTCTGAAACTCACCTCAAGATTTGCTTGTTATGTGGCAGTGTAGAGAGGTAGGTGTTCTAAGGGGAAATTGGGTCAAGAGGGCTCTGCCTGTCTAAGTGGGCACTTGTAGATTAATGGGGCTCCGTGTCTCACCATATGATACCCTCAGCCATGTCTGATGCAGTAAGAGGGTCCTCGCCAGATGTGGAGCTGATACCAGCACCATGCTGAACTTCCTGACTTCCAGAACCCATGAAACCCTACCTGTTATAAATTACCCAGCATCTGGCATTTTGTTATGGAAACAGAAAATATACCAAGACAGACACATAGATATGCCACATTTTAATTATCCATTCTCCATTTGTGGACATTTGGGTAGCTGTGGCTATTGTAAGAAGTGCTGTTACGAACTTTCATGGACAAATTTTCACTTACATATGCATTTTTAATTTGCTGGGTAGATACCTCAGGGTAAAATTCTTGGGAGAGGAATGTTTTTGAAACCTGTTTTACTACAATCCTTAGTAAGAAAAATATTTACCTCTCCTACCAAGTACACACACACAGAAAACCTTCATAAAAGAATATTAAAGAACTTATTACATATTATTTTGTCTGTGTCATTTAAGAAAAAATTGATTTCATGGCCCATTGCCATCTCAGGCATTTTGAAAAGCTCTGTTCTGGAGGAATTAATCGGCAGATGTTTGCAGCAGCCTGGTTTGCATTTATAAAAACTGAAAGGAACTTGCGCGTCTTTTTTTTTTTTTTAAAGGTACTGGAGATAGAACTCAGAGGTGCTTTTCCACTGAGCTATACCTCAGTTCTTTGTATTTTTTAATTTTGAGGCAGAGTCTTGCTAAGTTGCTGCGGTTGACCTTGAACTTCGATCCACCTACCTCAGCCTCCTGAGTCAGTGAGATTACAGGCGTGTGCCAGGGTGTCTGTCCTTGTCTCAAGATTTTAAAAAGGGCTGGGGGTGTAGCTCAGTGGTAAAGTGGGTTCCCAGAACTGCAAAAAAGTAAAAAGTGTATATTTAAAAAGAATAAAAATAGAGGAAAACATTAACAATGGTCAGTCTTGAGTGTTGGGCACTTGTTTGTTTCATTGTTCTATTTGTGCATATTCAAGTTTCCCCGAGGGATGGGGATGGCACCATCAGAAGAGCCTGAAGAAGCCCTCTGCTGCACTGTGGAGAGGGGAGACTTCTGGGGGTGAGCTCAGCCCTGCGACTGACCTGCACAGGTATTGCAGAGCAGCTGAGCGGGTGCAAGGGCAGCCGGCAGCAAGTAGCTCAGAGCCCACAGTGACAATGACCGGCATTCCCACCCCCGCCCCCCTAAGGATGGCCACTTTAAACCAGCCTTCCTCCAGAACCTGAAAGGGGCCTTCTAGAAAATTCTGCAAGGATGGGACCCCAGAATCCAGCACAGCCACCGTCATTACTGCTGAGGTGATTTGTTTCCAACCCCAGGTAGGAGAGCTGTTGTCATTTCAAATAACCAGACAGGAAAATTCTTAACTTTCTATCCAAGGGCCTTGGAAAGGGACTTGGACACATTGTTTAATGTTTACTTCTTAAATTACGGTGAAGTACCCATAAAATTGACCATTTTAACCACATTAAATT